AAAGTTAGGAGCTGGTTGGGATCAATTTTTGTTTCGTATTTTTTATTTTTTATTTTTTAAAAAGAAACAAATAGGAAAACAATAGTTTTTTAACTGTTTTTTATTTTATTTCAATTTTTTATTTTTAGGTCTAACATAAATTAGGCCTAATTACAACTTGAAATCCTCCCAAGTTTAATCTAACTTAGACTTCGTTCAATTGGAACTCTCCCTAGGTTCATTCTAATCTGGACCTAGAATAAGTCCAACCTAACTTAGCTTAAGATCATTTGAGTCTAACTTAACTTAGACCCAAATCAATTGAATCTCCGGTTCAACCCGACCTCCTAACTTAGCTTAAGATCATTTGAGTCTAACTTAACTTAGACCCAAATCAATTGAATCTCCGGGTTAACCCAGAACAACTGAACCACTGGGCCAACCAGACCTAACACGGGTTAACCCAATTCAATTGAATCAGTAGGTCAATCCGATCTAACTAGGGTTAACTAAATTTAACTGAATTACTAAGTCAAACTGACTTAACTCGAGTTGACAAATTCAACGCAATCTCTGGGTCAACCCGACCTAACTCGGGTTAACCTAGTTCAATTGAACCACTGGGTCAACCCAACCTAACTTTGGTTAACCCACTATAACTGAACCACTGGGTCAACCCGAATTAACTCAGGTTAACCCAAATGAACCGAATCATTGGGTCAACCTGACTTAACTCTGGTTAACGCAATCCAACCGAATCTCTAGGTCAAACTGATCTAACTCGGGCTAACGCAATTCAACCGAATCTCTAGGTCAAACCGATCTAACTCGGGTTAATCCAAATCAATTGAACCACTAGGTCAACCTGGCCTAATGTGGGTTAACTCAATTCAATGGAATCACTAGGTTAACCTGACCTAACTGGGGTTAAACCAATTTAACTGAATCACTGAGTCAATCAGACCTAACTCGAGTTAACATAATTTAACCCAATCTCTGGGTCAACCAGACCTAACTCGGGTTAACGTAGTTCAACTGAACCACTGGGTCAACTCGACCTAACTTGGGTGAACCCACTCTAACTGAACCACTAGGTCAACCCGACTTAACTAGGGTTAACCCAATTCAACTAAATCACTTGGTCAACCTGACCTAACTCGGGTTGAGCCAATTCAATTGAATCTCTGAGTCAACCGACCTAACTTAGGACAACTGATCACTGAAATTATAGTTATGTAAAATTAATAAAGTTGACTCTGCTTTGCAGCGACACAAAAAACTTGGTTCATTATTTTATGAATAAGATGAATAAGAAATTGAAGCAATTTATGTTGGTATTTTATGCAAGTATACGTATCGTTATCAAGTAATACAAGACTTTCTATTTAAGCCCCAAATACTGATCCCACGATAAAGGTTTAAATTTGAAATTTAAATTAAGAAATTCACAACAATAAAGAAAACCTACTACACTAATTTTGAATTTTTAATGTGCTATCAGAACTAAATTATCAATTACTAGCAATACTGTAAAGCAAAGCTAAAAAATAACTACCAAACTATGTTTTTGTGATGAAGTTATCTAATATGATAAAACATATTTCCCACTACATGAGTTTTTGGTTAATTAAAAGAGATAAATGGTTTGAATTTGTATTGTGCCAAATAGGAGCAATTTTAATTCTCTACCCTTAGTCAAGTGTAATAGAGAATTGTTGGTTAATCTCAGGTTTAGCCTCTAAACCCATGGTTAGGCTAGGAGGATACTGGCTCTTAATAAAGAGCTCCCACTTTCCTTCCTCTGAAAGCTAACTCTCGCTTTAATTCTTAAACACTAAGACCAATTTGAGGATTTTAGTCTCACCCTAGAATCTCTAATTCTTCGCCCAATAATATATATTTCCTTATTTATTTTCACCCAATTCCATAAACGAAACACTCCTTCATGGAATCAAATGTGATTATCACTTTGTTGTAAAACTCATACTTCATTTCCCGGATAGTATGTTTCACAACATATGTTAATATTTCAATTGGCCAAATCAAAAAGTAAATTAATAGCAGAGTGAAAAATCATCACAATTTACTTTATATTTTAAAATTGACACATTTAAATTATCTCTTCATTTCACCATATCTCAGAGTAGGGAGAAAAACAAAAAAAACTACTCTGACCTCATGAGAAAGATACGACAAAATACAAATTTCATGAATAAAAGAAAGTTTACACAACAACAATAAACAAATACTACTTATCTTTAACTCTTCCTCAAAACAAATCCCTTGTAGCCTCTCTTGGACTCTTTCTCTCTTTACAAGACTCTTGATTTTCTCTTCAAAGATGCAAGGAAGAAGAAAATCTCTCACTTCTCTCCCTCTCTAACAACTCTTAGAAGAAATCAAACTTAGACTCACCACTCTAAACAATGCATACAATATAACACTCCAAAAAACTCAATACCGGAAGACTCAATGACACACTAGCCTCCCCTTCTGATCAATTTTTGCTCTAAATAAGCATAATGTTGATTTTCCAAGAGGTGTATCCAATAACTCTTCAAAAAGCATTCAAATTTATAGAATCATCTAGAAATTCACCCAACAACGACATTGGCGCCGTCGGTGCTCGTGGTCTAAATTATTTCTTGTGCTCTCTGTCAAATGACGTCATTAGCCCCCCGCTGCTCTGGACTCCTCCTTCATGCTGGCGTTGTCGGCGCTGAGTTTTTCTTCCTAAATGCCATTTTGACTCCAAATTCCATCCTTTTTGCTTCAAGTGTTAAAAATCATCAACCTGCAATAAAACATGAAAAATACCTTCATTTAAAACACAATATCACCAAAAATGAGTATAAAATATATGTCTAAAAATGCATATATTTTTTATGCATCAAAATCCCCCAAACTTAAATGTTACTTGTCCTCAAGTAATTCCTTTACTACATAAAATATGATTTGTAGTAAAGAGTTTAACTTCTAGATTTTCATATTTTGGTATACTAAATCTCATAGCATAACTTAAAAAAAATTTAAAAATAACTCAAGTTATTACTAAATGTATAAAAATATCTAGTAGTCAAGTCTAAGATTTCTAATTTTTTATTCTTTTCAAGAAAAATTGCAAATTGTCATATTGAAGTCACTTAGAATATCCATAAGAAAAAGAAATTCATGAAAACTCTATTAGTAAATATGCTAATACTTAAATACAAATTTAGAGAATGTAGCTAAGCCTCCTTCCTTAAGTTGATTTAAGTGAAGTCAATTTTTGATTAGACATCTCTTTAAACTTCTCCTCACATATTTTTCTTTTCTCTTTTCTTTTAGGATCATTTTCAATCCCTTCTTTTTTTTTTCTTTTTTCATATGAGAATTACTATATCTGGATAGCCTTTAATGATTTTGGACTTCACTATCCTCTTCTTAAAGTTAAAAACTTTTCACATTCCTTCACTTTATAAATTCATATCAGTTTTGAAGATTTTTCATAAATTTCATTCTTTTCTTCTTATATGAAACTCTAAGATTTTTAATATTTCAAAAATACAAATTCCTTTACTTAAAATTGAAAAATATAGTCTTATTTTCTTATACCAAATACCTTGATATCTAGAATTAACATTTATTATTGAAAGTTTTTACTTAAGCTTAGTATATATTTAGAAACACAAATATAGTTATCCAAAGTTAGGCTCAACTACCACAAGATAATTTTATTAATTACAAATATATTTATTGATTAATTTAACATTAATCAATAAATAAATAATCACTTATTAATTACATTAATTAATAATTAATTCTTATTTTATTAAATAAATTTAAATTTAATATTTATTGTATTATTATTAATTAAATATTTAAAAATTACATATAATTTTATCTAATTAAAATTAATATGATAATATTATTAATTGATTATTAAATGTTAATTAATTAAATGAATAAAATTAACTTAAATAAAATTTAATTAGAACTACAAACCATTCTACCCCTTCATCCCACTGCTCGTAACACTAGCCTACATAACTTTGCATTTCCCAGTTTCGCCAAAAAGACTCTTCCCCCTCTACTTGAAACCCTTGTCCGTGCTCTCCCACTCTCCCATTTTTGCCCAAAAACATCACTTTCGTAACCGAACCCTTGCGATACAGTCACAATTAGAGCTAGTTGAGAAGGAAACGACGAGATCACAACATATACAGACTACCGAAACTCCCATCTTTCTCTTGTCTCTGCTCCGCTCCTACCTAAAACAATCGAGGAAGGTGAGCCTGCTCGCATCATTCTCTCTTTGCACATCCCCAGATTTACTAAATTAAAGGAATAACTAGATTTACTAAATCCGAGACTTACATTAAAAATGGGTGAAATCCAAATATAAATCTGAGTATTTACTTGTCCAAAATATCAGTCTGGCAGGATTTAGCTTAAATCATGTTTAAATCCTGCTCTAAATGTTGCTAAATTTATCAAAAACAAATTCAACAAATCCAAATGCAACTATTATGTAATGAATATATGATAGGAAATGCATTTTTTTTAAGGATTTTTATATACCAATCATCCAAAAGATTGAATATAAAAAATCAATCATCCAAATTTTAAATGTAATATTTTAACCACCTAAATTTACACTATAACTCTTCACTAATTAATAACAGAAGATGATTTAAATAAAAATATTTAAAATATTATATTTAAAATTTAAATGGTTGAAATATTTTCAGCAATATTTTTTGGGTTTTTATATAGCAACCACACAAAATATTGAATATTTCATTTTATTCATATAAATTTTAAATATAATATTTTAATCACTTTTTTTTTATTATAACCACCTTCCATTCTCACTTAATGAAAGTTTCGAGTAAAAATTTTGAGTGGTTAAAATATTATATTTATAATTTTAGGTGGTTAAAGTGTTATATTTAAAAATTAATTGTGTAAAATGAAATATTTAATATTTTGAGTGGGTTTCATGTAAAAAAAGCATATTTTTTATTCTGTCTCTCGGCTCCTCTGCTTCCTTTCGCCGTTTTCTTTCTCCCAGATCACAGTCTTTTTGCATCTTAATCTTCCTCTCGTAACCCTTCCAACCTAAATAATGCTCAAGTTTCTCAAGGGAGTGGTAGCTGGATCTGGGGCGGGGCTCAAAGATTTTCCATACAATATCGGCGAACCTTATTCCTCGTCCTGGGGCTCATGGACTCACTACGGCGGAACTTCCAAGGTTCTAGTCCTCGATCATTTGAGTTCCCAAATTTTGTAATTCGTTCGTGAAAGTTCCAATGTTAGATTCTTTCTTATGAGTTTTTTCATGCTACGCTTCTTGCAAGTAATCTGAGATCAAAATTTGAATTTCATTCAGTAGAGCTTCTGGAAGTCATTCTTTGAGAATTATGTGGGTATTGAAGCAAATTTGGAATAGCTTGAAGATTACAGATTGATATTTTTCAGAAATGTGATCAATTTTTTTTTTTTGAAGAAGCAAGTATAGGAAGTTTGTTTGTGCTGAATCAACTCTTTGGGCTGCTGGAAGCATACCGTCTTTTAGTTAGTTGTTTATGAATAAGTGGTGCAAATTTAGTTAGTGTATTTTGGTGCAAGAAGGAGGAATTAAATCATGCAAAAGATTGCGATGGAATTTACCATCTTCAGCCTTTTATGCTTTTTATTTCTTTATTTTGCTTCCTATTTGAATTGTTCTTGTTATGCATTCCTTGGACATCCCAGGCAAGTTAGTCAAGCATTTTGATTAGCCTGTATGAGATGGACCTGAGTGGTTTTGATTATGAGCAAGATAAAGTTGGTGCCCATGTAGAACTTTCTATGGATATAAGGTCATCAATGATATATTGTTTTGAGAGTGGCTAACAAAGGATGGACAAACTTATTGAGTTTATACTGATGGTTTCTCTTGAAGATTTTAAGTTGTTTGAAAATTTGATTGATTTGTTGCATACATGGAGCTTTCCAAAATGAAGCTAGTGATCTGATGAATGAGCTTGTTTTTAGGTGTGATATTTATTTATTATCAGTACATTGCGTTGTGGATAACTCAATTTTCTATTATCTTTGTTGTAACAGGATGATGTTTCTCCTGTGTCAATATTTTCTTTGTCTGGGAATAGCAGTCAGGATGGACACTTACTTGCTGGTCGCAATGGTGTTAAGCGATTGCGCACCGTAAGCCATCCTTTCTATACAAAAGCAATTTCCATTTCTTTTAGCGATTTAATTGTTCAGCATTTTATTATTGATAATGTAATTCTAGTAAGATTGATAGGATTTTGACATTTTTTTAAGTTTGATGTGAGAGTAGTGCATAAAATTGTAAATTGCTCGATTTGGCAATTGTTTTGGCTACATTTTATAGTGTAACTCTCTAATAACGAAGCAAAATTTTCATTTATTTTTCATGTTGACAGTGATAGAAGATGTGCTAATATGATCCTTGGGCTTTACACATGTTTTTTATCTTTTCTTCACTAAAAAAATGCTGTAGTTAGGCAGTTTTTTTAGAATTCATGACAGTCTCGAACATCTATTTTGCTATGGCGGTATATGCACTTATTAAATGCCTCCTTCTTTTCAAGGATGCTTCAGTAATTTTTCAGGCTGCTCCTTGATGTCTAGGATCACCTTTGTATGTTTTACTGGGCCAATATGAATCTTCTTATGGAATTGGGGTTCTCTGAATCCTGCATAGTATGGTATAGTTGGCAATGTGCTAAGCAATATGATAGATGTGCTAAGCAATATGATAGGATAGATGAGCTGTATATTTTTCTTAGTTGTGAATTATAATATTTAAAACTTGCAACAGGCTTCATCTTTGCCCGCCAAATTTAAATTTTTCGTTGTTTTGTGCGTTTTCCTGAGAGCATGCTAGTTTCTTCCATATTAGTGACTGCATTTTGAGTTCCATTATTTTTGTGTTGTATTGGTTCATATTATCTTCTGTTGTTGTTTACAGGTTAGACATCCAAATATACTATCCTTTGTCCATAGTACTGAGGTTGAAGTTGTTGATGGATCTATGACGAAACACACAATTTACATTGTAACTGAGCCCGTTATGCCGCTATCTGAAAAGATTAAAGAGTTGAATTTGGAAGGTACACAGAGGTATATTACTCCCAATTTATAATTTTTTTTTTTAATATTTTCATTATATTGCCACTGAAAAATTGACTTGAGAAATACATCGTTTTATTATTATTATTATTTTTGTTTTTGAAGGGAGTCTTATTGTCTGATTGACTTTTATTTCAGAGTCATTTAGGATGTGAATTATTGACAAAGTGAAAGTTGTAGCTTCGTGTTTCCAACAATCACATGCTTAAAATATTTCTTTTTTTTTGCCATTATTTTCAATTTTTTCTTGAAGAATTATTTTATTGAAACAAAGATTGAGGAAGAAAATATATAATATGATTCCTAACAATAATGGTTATTTTGTATCTTTTGCTCATTCCTGAAAAATAATGATTTGTATATATCACCCACTTGATTTTTTGGATGAAGGATCTTATGTAATTTTTTTTTTGTATTGGCTAGTACAATTTTTTTTTTGAAACAAACCAAGAGATTTTTTTTTTTTTGATTTTAAGAGTATTTGAGGGCTCCAAAAATTCTTGTCCCAGAATTCCTTAGATGAGGGTGTTTTGTGTTGGTTCAGGCCAAATTTTCAAGAGGCATGTTAGATTTTAGATAAGGCATTGATGAGAGATTTTGCCTCATTTTATAAGATTTTTTTTTTTTTTTCGGTTTGAGATTTTTCATATTTGCAAGTAATTATGGTTATATATTGCTCGATAGCAGGAGAGCACTATCAATCAAGGCTAATCATTAATCGTTGAATATTCAGACATTGCATATGGTAACATAGACTTATATTTTATGTTATGAAGTTTATCATCTTAAGGTTACAACTAATGGCAAAGGGAATGATGACCAACTCGAGCAAGATCTTATGGTTCCTTCATTTCAACTTCTCATTTATACATATCTAAAAAAAATATATTGTTTTGCACGGATTTCGGTTCATATTTAGAGCAGAAATTTTAAAAATAAATTTGGAAATACCCACACTACAATTTATTATCAAATGATGTCTCAGTCACAAAAACAAAACAATATAAAAAATGGTCTGATTTGAGTCCAAGTGAGCCCAAATCAAATAAAACATAATAAGAAGCTTTGAAATATATTTGGTGATCTTGATAGCCACTGTCAACAGGCTTTCATCGTTGGATCGCTGTTGCTCGGTTGTTGTTGCCGCCCCGTACAACTGACACCGGGCCACCACCGTCATGACATACCACCATCATTGGGCTATCATCTCCGTGGCCACCATTGGACAAACATCGTCTAAAAATCATAGTATTAACCTCACTTTTGGTTGAGGTCTAGCTTTCTCCTCTTTAGTAGCCTAGGGTCTAGCCATAGGACTTTTCTGTTGACTATTCCTAGAGAACTAGAAAAGGAACCCTCACCGAACCCTCACCATTAGAAACTCATTAGAAACTCTAAAACATTCTTTGCTCAACTTGAAGTTCCACATATTGGTCATAACCTCTAGCACTCAGTAGGTGAGGTCAATATGAGAGAGCTCAAGGTGAATCCCCATCGGACTGCTTGACCTTAGGGTTGACCCAGGGTGTTGGTCTGGAGCTAGTTTACGCACTTTCACTCATTTTCACTCCCATTCACTCACAACCCTAAACCAAAACTTGTTGACTTTGATCCCTTGATCCTTTGGGAGATTCATTAGATGGTCTCCTAGACCCTCTAGCCCTAGGTTGGGGTTTAGCTAGAACCAGACATAGAGGACTCAAATGGAGATTCCATTGGTCCGTGGCTCAAATCAGGATGGTTGGCACTTCAATTTCACCAAATATCCAACTCAGCCTTTTGTCCACGAAACCAATTTGGACTTTTCAATTAAACTCAGTTTGATCTCAATTTCCTCCAATTTCAGTTCTAAACTTAAATTCAGCATGATCAAACTCAATTCAAACCAAGTCCAAGCCTAATTGACCCACATTTGAATCCAATTTTAACCCAAATCCAAAACTCCCAATTTTGCCCCAATTTAGCCATGTCTCCAAATGTCACCAAATTGAATGCCAAAATTCCAAAATTGACACCCAATTTATGTTGAGAACTCTTTTTGACATTCCTCTAAACCATTTTGAACAATCAATTTGGACCTAACACAACCTTAGCCTAACCCAAACCCAAGTCCAACCCAACACCCCAAAATTAACTAAGTGACCAAAATTCATCAAATTTAACTCCCAAATCAACTCAAAATCATTTCAAATCTTCTCTAAACCTCTCATGACAACCATCTACATCATCCTGATCAATTGAGCTCGAACCAAAATTTTGACGAAAATTGAATTTGACGTGTTTTCGACCTGGTCGTCGATGAGGTTATTCAGACGACCTCGGATGACGGAACGGACTGTGTCAGCGCGTCTAGAGCATCGATTTTGCCTAGGGGAGATGTTCATTTTGCTGCGATGACGTGTCTGGGAGAAAATGTACAAAGGTTTTAGGGAGAGGGGGAAAAGGTTATATGTTATAATAATAATAATAATAATAATAATAATATTATTATTATTATTATTATTATTATTATAACATATAACCTTTTCCCCCTCTCCCTAAAATCCTAAATCCCTAGGTCTCTCGCACGCCCCGCCTCTGGCCTCTCGCTTTGTCCTGTCCGCCCATAGCTTCTGCAGGAGATGATCCCGGACGCGACTCTGCTTTGTCGCACGCGAGCTCTTCTTCGCATCCCTTTCGCACGCCCGACAAAATCCTTCCCCATCCTGCTCGCGCGCAGCCAAGCCCCATACGCGATCCTTACCGCCTGCTCCTCTCTGCGGCATTTGTCGCCGTTTCTCCTGCCTTCCTCGACTTCGGTTCACCATAGGTAAGTTCAGGGAAGCTTTCTCCTCCTCCCATTTGGGGGGAGATTTAGGGCTGACCAAAATTTTGAGGAAAGGTGGAGGTGTTGCCAAAATTTCTTCTAATCTCTTTGGTTGGATTTTTTTCTCCGTTCATCTTGTGTGTTCTTGAGGTCTGATTGGAGTTGTGTTCTGTTTTGGAAAAGCTTGAATAAGGTAATTTCATCTCCCTCCCTTAACTGTTCAATATTTTTGGAGATTGCTCGGTATTCTTGCTGAGTGACTCGACATTCTTGCGTGACTGCTTATTTGGCTACCAAAGTATCATCTTCTTGTTTGGTTCTACGTTACTTTGCTTGGTTGCCCGTTTTGTCACTTGTTCGCTCGACATTGGCTTAAAGGCCCGGTTTTATTTGTTTAATCTTTTAGTCTTCCTACAAGTAGCTCTGGAATTTGAAAAACTAATATTCACACAAGCTTTTGAGGCCTTAGTTTCTATCTAAAGTCAACCTCATAATGTTTTCTGAACTATTGTCTGTTGGCATGAATGGTTAAGTTTTCTGCTCGTTAATCCTATGAATTGTGGTCCATGAGCTTGAGGCATTTCTTTTATCTCCACCTTTGGCGGTGATTTTAAAGAAAAAAAGAGGAGTTTAATTTTCTTTCTAAGAAACATTTATCAATGAAAATTTTGGAAGCCTGAAATTTATGCAATTTAGAATGCTTGATGAAGAAAGTAGTGAGCAGGGAAAAAAGCTTTCAAGCTTTCTTCTTTCCTCTTTACTTTCGGTTGTTTAGTTTGGTGACTTGTTTGATATTCTGTTTAGAAAGTCTTCGATTTTTGTAACTATGTATTATGAGAAGTGGAAATTATCTTTGATTGAGGCATAGCCATATGATTTGGGAGGTGTGCATGCAGAAACTTCGAGGTTTTCCTTTGAAACTTATTTTGGGGGCTTATTTTATTTCTCTGTTTCCCGTTTCCCCCCAGCCGAAATGCTTGCTGAAAGAAATATATTTGTTATGGGGGGAGTTCACTCCTGTTTTTTTTTTCAACTTCATGTTGTTCTTCTTGTTCGAAATATATGCTACATGTTATATTTGGAATTGGGAGTTTGGTTTTGGCTCCCTGTAGTTGTCTCCTTTGTTCGAAATGCATGTTGGATCGAGTGCTCCATGTTGTTGTTTGCCTATTCAAAGTACATGCTATATGGAATATTTGATTTGGGGCTTGATTTTTGAGCTCTCTATATTGTTACATTTATTCGAATATATGCTGGAGCCCGTTTCGATGCTTTGAGTTGTTGGCTTTAGGGACTCGCCAGTGTTTCTCTGTTTACTGTTACTTGCCCCTGTTCGAAGTATATGCTGGGTGTAAATTTTGGGTTTTAAGGCTTTGTGGAATTTGCTTTATGGTGGCTCTGTTTTGGCCCCCTTGCTGGGCTCAGTTTTAGTTTTATGGTTGCTTGATTTTGGCCACTCGTGGGTCTCGGTTTTAACTCCCCTAGGCTGCCTCTTTGTTCGAAACATGCAGGTGATTTTATTTAATTTTGGAGCTTTGGAGCATTGTTTTGCTGTTTCTTTGCTGCCTTCTCTATTCATAATATATTAAATGAAAAGTTTGTCTTTTCCCTAGCCTTTTAGAGCTAATTTTGGTGGTTTTGCTTTGGCCCTTGCTGCTGCTTTCTTGGTCTGAAATGTATGAGCAATTAAAACTTGTTTTTTTAAGGTTTTGAGCTATTGGCTTGGGGTTTGTGATGTGGTTGGTCTGGGCTTGGCTTTCTCCATACTGTCCCTAGCCGTGAGCCTCCCTGTTGTGGTTTCCTGATTTGTGGTGGTTGGTTGTTTTCCCTTTGGCTACCCCTACTCAAGAATACTTAATTATGTTATTTTTGTCCCTGTTTCTTCGGGTCTCAGCTGGTTCCTTTGCTGTTTCTACTCGTGATCTTGTAGAATTTGGGTTGGGCTTGGCTTGTTGCCCCTCTTTGCCGTCCTTGGTTGTGAGCACTTATATGGAATTCTTTGATGGTGTCGGGTTCACATGGCATTAGAAACTTTGGGTTTGAGTTGGAATTGAATGTTTTGGTGATTCTGAAATGAAGTATTTTAATTCTTGAATATTTGAAAGAGCTTGAATGCCCCTTTTTATGAATGATGCATGAGATATTGAGAATTTTTCAGGGCCAATCCTACGGGCCAAATTGATTG